TCGGGCGGGCGAGTAGAGAGGGCGGGTCCCCGGCCTCGGGAGCGCGGCGGTGGAGGGGACAGAGGCGGCGGCCATGGCGACCCCCGGCAACCTGGGGTCCTCGGTGCTGGCGAGCAAGACCAAGACCAAGAAGAAGCACTTCGTAGCGCAGAAAGTGAAGCTCTTTCGGGCCAGCGATCCGCTGCTCAGCGTCCTGATGTGGGGGGTAAACCACTCGGTAAGGGCTCGGGCTGCGGCGCGCGGTCCTTTCCTCCTCTTCTTCCTCCTCGCTCCCCTCCTCCTCCTCCTCCTGCTGCAGCTGCTGCGGGGCGGAGAGCCCGAGCCGGGGCCCCGGCCCTCCGGCTGCTCGCCCTCCGGGGCTGCCCGCCCGCCGCGGCGCCTGTGTCCCCCGTCCCTGGCGCACGCCTGCCCCTCCGGGCCACTTGGACCCCCTTTGGACCTAGGTCCGGAATCAGGACGACAGGTCCCATCTGCATGGGAGCCCTGCGGCCGGTACCAGTGTCGCCCCCCGTCCGTCCGTCCATCGGTCGATCTGTGCCCGCAGCCTGGGAACTGGGAAGTTTTTGCGGGCACGGCGCGCCGGGGCTGTGAGCCTCAGCGGGGGCGGCTGGGATCAGAGACCCGGCGATCGCTCCCTTCTGCTGGGTGCGGCGGGGGCGGCTCGGTCCTTCGCCGGCCGGCAGGTGTACCTGTCCCAGGCTGGGAGCGTCCGGAGCCTCCCCGGGGGGGAATAGCGGTGAGAATACTGGAGATCGGGGAGACCTGGACCGAGGCTTTAGTGCTTAGGTCCTTTTTTCCTTTAAAGGAGATATTGTTGGACACAAGGAATGTTTTTGACAAAGCAAAAACCAGTGTAAATACGGCACTGGGGTTTAGCATCTTCCCCTGCTCCTCTTCCGCATCGCCCTGCCGCTGTGCTGGCTGGAGAGCTGCTCCGCGGGGAGGCTTCCTCCCCACACCTCCTCCCCCACCTTGGGGGCCAGGCCGAAGTCACCAACTGCGGAAGGGCGCCTTGGGGATGACCGCGGGAGGGGGTCTCGGCGGGCGCCAAGGAAGGCGGTCTTGAGTCGACTGCACCCGTTCCGGGGTTTTCTTTAAAAGGCTCAGGAGAACGCTTGGAAAGGTTAGCTTAACGCACAGCCCAGAGGTAGTGGAAGATGCGCCGCTGCGGGCTCTGCGGACTGCGGTTTGAGGGTCTGAAATAGCCTCCAGCTGATCGTACAGCGAGAAACTCCCGCATTTTTAATCTTCCTAGAATCTGGAAACATGATAGGCGCTGTTGGCTGAGCCATGAAAGTTTAAATGAGCCTGTGAATTTTGACCATGACCTTACCCACTGCAGTCAGTTAGCATGTGGGGAGAAAGTGTCAGCTTGCTTTCCATACTTTTGATTTCGATGGATGTCTGTGTGCCCTTTTCATCATAATGCAAATGACAGAAAACCATGCTGGTTTTTAAAAGAACATTCTGAATTTAATGAAGTTGTTTAAAATTATTCAAAAGCATCGTGTTTGTATTTTTCTCCCAAGCTGAGATGGGGAAAAGGCGAAACAGTATCAGGATTGATTGTGTTTGCATGGAGTGACCCTTTTTAAGGTTTAGAAGAGATCATTTCTATCAGCCTGATGCCTGATCCATTGTAGTGCATTTTAACTTCCTGACAATCCTAATTTAGTAATTAGGAATGTCAGCTTTCACAACAGCATACATTACTATACCAAAACTCTCGTAAGTTTTATTACAGTATGTAAAATGAAATGTTTTCCATGTACTAAGTCTACAATTTAGAGTTATGTCTAATTCTGTTAAGCTTTTTTATTTATGTTGTTCGTTACTTTTTTAAAAAATTAATGTCAGTTCTGTATTTGGGGGTGCTTTTATCTGCTTTGGAGTTCCGGTGTTTTGGTGAGGAGAGTGTTTATGTCTGAGGGGTTAATCTAGTAAAGTAGTGTCAACAGTATATTGCTGAAAAAGAGTGTGCTCTCTGGGAATTAGTCTGAACTCCAGTTTACTTTAGAAAATCGTGAAATGGTGCATGTTTTACTGTAACCACTTTGTTGCTACTTTGTATTTGTGAATTGCTACATTTGTTTTAGAGTTTTTTGCTAATTGGAAATACTTTGAAGCTACTTACGGCTTATATGAGTAATGTATTATTTGCAGATAGTGCATTTTGTGTTATTTTCTTTTGCTTTCAAGAAAAGTTAGCAATTCTAAGAATAGTCATCCAGAGAAGTGAAGTTTCCATAGTATGTAATGTACGTTAGGCACAAAAAAGTGCCAGCCACTGTGCAAAGATTGCTGAAAACTCCCCTCATATTTTAGTCCAGATATCTTTGAGGGCTCTGAGTTGACATAAGAAAAGTCTGTTTCATGGGCTTCTTTTTTAAAATGTCTATTTTCTTTATTATTTTTGAAAGAAAAGAAAGGAAATGTATATAAAGATGGAATCTAAGCACTTAGATGCCATGTGTTTCTGGTCGATTTCAGTTTAGCCAACAAAGTCTAACATTAGATAAATGTTTTTATATGCCCTGTGTGCACCAGAGCCCATATAGTATAATATGAGAATAACTAGGTCAACATTATTAAGAAGGAGCAAGCATAGTGTTGTATATGAATGGGAACATTTGAGAAAGCATAGTGGAAAAGGAATAGATCATTCACATCGTCTTTTCCTGCATTTCTAATGTGATCAGAATAAATGGAGAAAAAATTTGTCACGAATATAGCAATTTCATACTTTTAAAATTCATTTCTTAAGATCATTTAGAGATAACCAGACTTTAGAGTGCTGAAGGAGAACTGCATATTTATTTTATTATGTAGGCATCTTCTACGGGGATTGAGAACCTTCTTCATACAATGGTAAAATGCTCTTTGGATCAGTACTAATTCTTTCTCTAATTCTCTTGACCTTGGTTGGGCATGTTGACTAGTTTTACATTAATATTTGCATCTGTGAAGTAAGATGATTGGACTGGATAATTTCCAAGTTTTTTCTAACTTCAAGATTTGACAGTTTTTAGAGTCCACTAGATTCATAGCTTTATATTCGGTTGCACAGACCAGGAGTAGTAAAACTATATAACACAAATTGCATTTTCATTATAACCTGGCCAGTGCAGCAGCATCCAGGGAATTTTCAAGGCTATGACTAGAGGGAAGGAAGTCGCTGGCGACTGGAGAGATGTGTGAACTAAGAGTTTGTTGGCTCGATTGTCGTTGGCCTGCTTTGCAGCCTATTAAGTCAAAGTCTATTTGATTGAAATGTAAAAATTTGCAATTAAGGTAGGAATATTCAAGTCCATTGTGGTGGTAATTCTCAATAAGAATAATCCTGACTTTGTGTGGTTAATTTGATATGCTACTGCTTTCTAACTTAAAATACCCATCAATGAATGGATCACTGCCAATTTTAAGTATTTTAAGCAGAAAACATAATTGAATACATAAAAGAAAAGATGATTTAAGAAGGCAATTTTGTCTTGTTACATTTGGAATTAAACTAAAAATAATCAGGCAGTTAGCTTCTTAAAATTATATTTTAATAGTGTGAGGAGCGTGTAGAGTGATCTGAGCCAAGACTTGTTTTAAACATATTCTAAAATAATTTTATGCAGAGTGAAATGTGAGCCATTTAGAAATTATATTTTAAAAGCTATTTATCTAGAGGAAGATATTTTCTGTATGGAAAAAAATTGAAGGACATAAAACTTGTTTAAAACAAATATAGTATTTAGAAGTAGCCATTATTAATATTAAAATTTCTTGGTTGCAAGCATAGAAACACAAATGAGTTTAGGCGGACATTTCAGATATTTGGGGTGGGGGCGTGGGGGGGAGCGTGTTGGAGGTCCATCACTGAAGAAGCTGGGATTGGTAACCAAACCAAGAGAACAGGAAAAGGTCTGGGCTTCCAGAACCATTGGAACCAGGTGCTTGGGTACTGTTGGGACTTTTCTGTCCTTTATGGCTTTATTCTTACTCTTAGCTTACAGGTTTCCTGCACAGGGCAGCGAACTCATGGTTCCTGAATTTGACATTTTGTGCTTTCTGCCCCTAAAAAGGGACTTTCTTGTCTCTGATTCAGTTGTGAAAATCCCATGGAAGGATTCCAGCTGGATTGACTTCGGTCACTCATAGCCTCCCCTTGGATGGAGCACTTATACAAAAGGTGGCAGCTCCCACCCGTTGGAGTTGGGGGGAAAGCAGTTCTCAGAAGAAGGGAGGGGGTCTGGACAGGCAGGATCAGGCAGGTGTCAGTCCTAGTAGAGCTGGGGTGTTTATATTAGTGTTGTGTACTGCATTTTATGTTTTGATGAATATGTGGTTTTCTAGGTAGAGTATTATAGCTTTTGTTATATTCTTGACAAGGTCCAGGACTTAAAAATAGGTAAATGCTATAATGGAGGAATAGTGATGTCTTTTCTGTTTGTGGGTTTATATTTGGGCACTGGAAAAGCTAAAAGAACCAGGTTTAAAAATGAAATATATGACTATGAAAAATTAACTGAATAGACTACAATAAGGCAATTAAAATAATAATTAGCTAGACAGTAGATGAAATTCATTGAATGGAACCCAACTAATTGTTCATTTAAGAACTAGTGTCATACTATTTTTTCTTTCCTCTTTAGAGGACAGAAAATACCAAGCGGACATGTTCAAAGTATATTATAAGGAAAATAGTTTCATAACCTCTAAAATTTGGGGTTATATGTCCTGAGAACAGAATACATTTTCTTCTCCATTTCTTCTCAGATGACTTAGAGTGAACTTGAGTATTTAGAATGAAACTGGACCCCTTCTTAGAATAATGGTTTTGAACAAATAAACAAAAATACATAGGATATGTACTATCAAGCAATTACGATGATTTATCTTTCTACAGCAAGGTTGTCTTGCTATGCCTTTAGAAAGATTTTTAACAAGAATTGTAATAAACAAACAAAATCTACCTTAAGTTGATTATAAAATGCAGTCAACCAGAATAATTAATTCTGCCAACATACTCTTCGAAATCTAAATTTTGGAATTGAAGAGAATTGGTGGAATTTGGCAAAATGGTTTGTGATGAGATGGATTAGGTTCAAATCCTGCCTCCTTTATTTATGGGCTTTTTGAGCAGATAGATAGATAGATGATCTAGGCACTTGCACCCCAATGTACTCATTGTCAAAGTAGAGTTGATGATGCCTACCTCACAAGGTTATT